CCTCACCCGGCTTTAAGTGCGTCTGTCTTTTTATTTACTGCTGGACTATTATTCTTGTACAGACTGTAAAATGTATTATTTTGTACAACTTTATTGAAGAAAAGAAAATAACTTGTAGAAGATCCCTGTGCCTTGATCACGACTGTACGTGCGAAAAAAAAAAGAAAAAAATGAGCTAAACATGTAAGTTATGTTTCACTGCGCTGTACAGCTGGACGGGTCAGATATGCTACGTCCGGACCAGCTCACCCCCCCCCTCTCCCTCCCCTCACCGCTGCTGTTGCCACCAGCTGAGAAGCGAAGGGGTAAAGTGTACTGTCGGGGAGGAGGCTTTTCGTCTGTTGGTTATTTACATTGTTTTTTTTTCCACATTTTGTTTGTTGATTTTTTTTGTTTTGTTTTTTTGCCTTGACTTCTCTCTGGTTTATATAATAGGAATTTTAAAAAGTTAAAAAAAAAAAATGACACCCACCTTAATGCTGTGTAGTGCCAATATTTAAGCCAAACACAATTTAATCTAAGAAAAAAAAAACTGGTATTGTTTTTTTAGCTCTAACTCATTAGAGTTGAACGAACATGTCACGCTGGGGATAAATGTATTTATTTTTCTTAAAACTAACCGAACTTTGCATCAAAAACAGCTATACTAGCAGTTGGTCCATTTTACCTTTACAGACTCTCCGTTCTACAGCAGCTAAGCTCTGTGGAGGTTATGCTGCGTTTTTGTTTCTGCTCAGTCTGGGTTAATATATGAGAACAACAGGAATGGGGAAAATATTTATCTAAGGGCTCCTTCCTTGCATTTGTCCATTGGTCCATATATTAATTGATTTCTGATTCTCTTAGTCCAACCATCAGCCTTTTCTTAAATCTAATAATTTCTCTATTCAGCAAATAATCATCTGTTCTTTCATCCATATATCTCTTCTCATTTATCCAAATACCCATCCATCTGTCATTCCCTCCGTTTATTCGGCTGCTTGTGCACCAATCAATTAAACCTTTGCTCACATTGTTCATCCACCCATTATTCATTCATTCTGTCAATCTTATACTGATCTATTTTCTCTATCCCGTTCCATTTGTCTCTTGAACGGTCGATTAATATATCGGTAGTTTTACTTTGAAATCGGCTGAATTTAGATGTCCAGACTTGGACAGATGTCAAGCGCCTTAGCGCCTTTTTATGGATACTGCACATATAATATTCAGTTAGAATTTCAACCATGAACCATTTTTTTATAATTAGCATCTCAGTAAAAAAGCAGCACCCTATATACACTGATTTTTGTATTTAAAGTCAGAACATTTAGAGAAATGCCAGTTTTTATTTCTACACGATAGCATCTCACTACTGGGCAATATTTAAACTTGATACCAAAACATGCTCTGCTTTGGTTATTTCCAGATGTGTGTCCAACTAAGACTAGAACTGCATCGATTCGATTTTATTACTATCTCTATTGGTCCTGATATTGAAGAGATTTCTAGAAAATGGGCCAATCCATAGGGGGAAGATGGGTGCTGTCTGTTTCTATTATTTTCAGGATGGAATCTGTCCTGTTAACACAATTGACCCTTTTTATGACTTTCTGACTTTGTGTTTCTCTAATCTCGTCTTGTCTTTCTGGATATATGAGTGTGTTTATCCATGCACTTGTTTGTAGACAGGAGTTTATGGCAGTCTCTTAAAAGAATCAACATTAATGATAATATTAAAGCAAAAAGATAATCTCTGGAATAGTATCAGGATCAGCAGATATCCAAATTCAAGTGCTGCATTGGAACTGAAAAAATAAGGATCGGTGCATTTCTGACACACACACTCAACCAGAGAGCAGCAAAAATGTCAATCATAAATACCCAGGATGGGAAAATCTGAATATGACATAAATCAACATCATAAATACCCCTTTACACACTAACTACATGAATGTTTATAGAAGAGTCAAAGAACAGGCCATCAGTTGATGCTGTTTGTTGTAGCGTGGCTTGATCATCAACATAATCAAACTTGTAAGGCTGAATCAAATTAAGATGGTATTTAATTTTCTTCTGAAGCTGATGCTATGCTCCAGAGGCTTTAGCTACATACAAACAGGAAGTCAGAATCCGAACTGCTTCAACAAACATTCAGGTTTTATTTTTCAACTTTTAATCCGTCTCATTCTGCACGACTCATTTTGCAGAGATCATATTGAAATGATCTAGACCCTGTTGCTCCTCACACAAAATGTATCTAATTTATCAATAACACAGTTGTCTCCAACTGTCAGTCAAATACATTGCTGGAGGTGCTCAGATCTGAGATGTGAAAGTTATACTGAACACTGAAATAAATAATACAGCCATTTTTGGCATTTACTTAATCATATTTAGCTACTTTAACACAACAGTTTCATGTTAGCAGGGTAGGACAAAAAACAATTGTGTTAAAGTAACTAAATATGATTAAATAAATGCCAAAAGTGGTTGTATTATTTTTTCGGTGTAGCTGGGCTACATGAGAACACATGATGTAATATAAAACCTTTATGTTTGGCTATTTTGATCCGAAACGGGTAAATTTTGCACTCAATCCCTAATCAGTCGTATGCAGTCTGGAATTTGACTCCAACATTTTCAAATGGTCTAAAGGTTTTATCCTTCCTTTCTTTCACACCTCTGTGTCTCCACCATGGTGTTCTCCCTCCCCTCTTTCTTTTCTTTCTTTCCTTCCTTTCTTGTATACTTCCCTCTTTTAGTTATTTAGTCCTTGCAAACTTCCTTGTCCTTTCTGCCTTAATTATTTTTGGTCTCATTTGTTCCTTCCCTCCATATGCTACCTTTTCTTTTCCCTTCTTTCAGTCAGTCATCATTCAAAACCTTCCCTTCTGTTAGTAGTTTTTGCAGATTCATCCTCGTATTCTGGCCATATTTACAGACATCTTCCGTGAATTCATAATATACTTCATTTTGTATTTTTTGTAACGAACTGAGAACTCTAGAGAGCAGCATAGGTAGGAGCCCTGAGCATACGTTTGCTGTATAATCTCAGCACCTGAACAGCTGTATGCATTAGTTTTTTATGGCAACTGATATTTTATTTATTTCACTTATAGATTTTGTCATTGCTTTGCCTCAGTGTGTTTAACACAAAAGGGAGACTGGTTGGAGAATTGTATTAAGGTACACCGGGTTCATTGGTGTAAATACTTAGCTTATAGCCATTAAATGCATTCAAACCGTGGCATGAAGCCTAAATAATCAAGACACCGGAAAAGGTTGGATCCCATGGACTGAAGATCTAGAAGAAGTCAAAGCCTTCTCATAAGACGTGCTGTGCTCGATCTGCAGGAGTTTGAGGTGAAACTAATCCTTAAGTAACCCCACTGCCACATCCAGGGTGTGGAAAATGAGTATCACAACCCATTCAGTCCTGGGTTTATTGTTAGCGTTATATAAAACTGAAGCAGTTTAAATCAATATAAGGGTTTGAGCCACAACGGAAATACATATCAGGGCTCATCTTGCTGGTAAGCCACCATTATTAAGTGGAAAGATATTTTTTAATAGAGATACCACTCGGTCAGATTTGATTATAATCAGCCAGTATACAAAGGGAAATGTCTGGCTGTAAACTAGAGGGCGGAAACTGCTTAATATTACAGCCTCCTGTCAATCAGACAACCAACCAGGATTCTCAGCAGGTAAATCTGACATGATCTACCTTACAGGAAAATACCTTCTCTACACTTTGAGCTGATCCGACAGCTATTTGGATTATAAATTATGTGTTTATTTAAAAATATAAAGTGTAAAAATATGAGAACATAACTAAAAACGTTAAAGCCCTGTACTTATCTGAGAACAAATCACATGGTAACAGTTTGTCATCCTGCTCTGGGGCTCCTTCCCATCCTGATCATCTGACTTCTCTTCAGGAGCTACTGCAAAAAGAGTGAAGTTACAAAGGGTAAACAAAGCTACTTCAACATACTGATTTTAGCTCACAGTACAAAATCTTTTTAATACATTTTAAATTACAGACTTAGACAGATTTTATTTAGTCATTCTGTACACACAAGTTTAAACATAAAGAAATGTTAACTACAGCTCTCTAGACTATTTCATTTTTTAAAGTGCAGGTAATCAGCAGTGATAAAAACATTTTGATGAAAAAAAAATCGACCTGTGTTAAGGAAAGTAATTATTAGTTTATATCTAAAAAAAAATTCATGCATATTGTATAGTTTTATAGTGTTCTAGTC